TTTGCCTCCACAGACCAGGGGACCAGGGGAAGGTGGAGGGATGGAGCCAAGACCGCCGTTTATTCCCTAAGTACCTCTAATATGGCAAATATAGCTTCTAAACTCAACTCAGATTACTTATTTTCAAAAGAATTCCTTTCATGGGCCAGCCCGGTGGCACAGTGGTTCAGTTTGCATGTTCCACTTTGGTAGCCTGGGGTTCACCAGTTCGGATCCCGGGTATGGACCTATACACTGCTTGTCAAGCCATGCTGTGGTAGGCATCCCACATATAAAGAGGAAGATGGGCACGGATGTTAGCTCAGGGCCAGTCTTCCTCAGCAAAAAGAGGAGGATTGGCAGCAGACGTTAGCTCAGGGTTAATCTTCCTCAAAAAGAAAAATTCCTTCCAGAACACTTATACAAGGATTTCCTTATATAGGAAGGTTTTCTTTTTATGTTTAAAGAAACAAACACACACTCCCATTACAAAATAAGATTATATTCATGTAAGTTTCCAGGAACACCTTATTATATAAAGTTGTTTATAAGAATAAAATATAGCTGCACTATTTCTTAACATCATAGACTGAATCATGTTCCAAAGCATTTGCATCGCTTGTGCCTGTTTTCCTGAGAGCAAAGCTTTGTGTTTTAAAAAAGAACTTCTAAACTTGTAGAAAAACGTTCATAGCAGCTTGTTCATCATAGCAAACAAACAAAAAAGGAACCATGGAAACAACTAAAATATTCGCCATCCGTAGGACAGATAAGTAAACTACGATTTATTCACATCCTTGATGCTCTGCGTCTGTGGCCAGCACGGAAGCACAGCTCATACTTAAATTTTGAAGAAAAAGTCACCGAAGATGATATATTAAAAAAATCATACTGTGAGTAAAATGCAAAAATAGACAAAACTAAATCTATTGCCTAGAAATACATAGACGTGTGGTAACACTGTGAAGAAAAGCAAGAGCATATTAAGACACGTTTCAGGATGGCGATTCCCTGGGAGGGCACACGGGGTTACAACAGGGACATGCAGGCAGAGGCTCCCCTCACCCTGGAAATGCCCTGTTTCTTAAGCACAGAGAGGATACATGGATGTTCGTTCTGTTAATATCCTTAACCTGTGCCTAGACATTACATTCCTAGGAATATACGCTGTAATTCGTAATAAGTAAAAAGAAAAGAGAAAGTAAAAGAAAAAAGAGCACTCTTTAGCAAAAGCAATCTGAAGCACAAAAAAATTAACTTGACACTATTTGTGAACTTCAAGTGTGAGTAGAAGTGGCTCTAGTTTCTGTTTTCTTTTGTGGTTTAACACGTGCACAGTTACAGACAAGTGGGAATAATTCTTTGAAACGTTGTGTTTCATAGGTGTGGTGTCTTGTGGCTGTGACATCATTTCTTAATCTTTCGTCTCTGTTAGGTTTTATGGCAGGGGGTTGGCTGTGAACAGAAAGGAGAGGATATGGTGAAAATTCCTCTATAGCTGCAGCAAAGCGTATATTTTCATTCCATTTGTTAAGCTAGCATGCAAGTTACTACCAATGTGTGCAAGTCACTTAAATCATAGACCTGCTTAATTTATTTTTCAGAATAATAAAAAATGATGAGCAGATCTAACCTGTATCTTCAGTTCTGTAACTTGGGAGTGGAAAACAATGTAGCTGTTTCTTCAAAATCGTTCAACATGTCCTTTCACTATGCTGAGTAATTGTTTCTAAATTATTCAGAATTAAAACGCATTTATGTAATTTTTGATCTAACAGACTTTACAGTGGACTTTATTAGTCTTTTACTGCCTGTTGCAGGAATTGCTATGGCCTTTATGCGCATTGCCATTTCACTCATCAGAAAGGATCCTCTGAGAGATCCCCGAGAACTGAGCTGGGGAATTACAGGATGCTTCTACACACCATGTCTAGCACACTAATTTACACCTGTTAGGTTCTCAATCAGCACTGGTGGAGTTGAATAGAATGCACGTGAAATTTACACTTAAACACGTTTCCTTTAGAATCTATTTGAATGAACCCAGAAAAATTTCAGAAATGCATATAAAGCTTGAAACTAGTTTTATACAAAAGTTTCCATTGATTTCTCTAAATCTTAGGAACTCAATATTATAAAATTTAAAAAAGACTACCACTCACTAATTAATTAAATGTCAAATATAGGAAAGTACAAAAAGAATTTAGATCCTCCTTAGAGGCTCTTGAGTTGAGAGGATCTGGGTTTTAGTCCCAGCTCTCTTGCTTTCTTCATCCTTGATCTTGGGCAAGATAGCTTTTCTGTTGTCTTCTGTTTTCACCTTTCATCAAGGCACGAAATGAGGAGACATGATTTTCGAACCATCTTTAAAGCTAATAATCCTTCACATCATTAGACTGACGGTGTGACAAAAACATTCAGAGTTAAAAAATGCAGCAACAAACACTTGGGTTTACAGTTCTTGCTCCATTGTGTAGCTATGCATCCTCGAGTAAATTTTTTAGCTTCTGCGAGAAATAGTGTTAAATATTGTAAGAATTAGGTGCAGCATATGAAAGTGCTGTTTAAACTCATACCATTCTGGATAGATGTGGGCTGAGGCATGTTCTTAAGAACCTCAACTACGATCCTCACCCACTCGTGGTCCAGCCCACCAACATGTCCCAGATCACAGACGACTGCTCACGTGGACGTTAAACAGGAGATTACCTGGGTGAGGCAAGCCTTTTATGGGAGACATTGACTACAGTTGTCTTAAAAGCTATATGGCTCTCAGGACACCTGCCTCCGGTGAGTTTCTGAAGTTTTGCTGTTTAATATTCCTCATTTACTGTTTCTTGATGTCTTCCACATAAACTCTTTAAATCTTAACAGATCCATCCAGAGCTCTCGATGTTGCTTTACTCTCACATTTTAACCTACATGACCCCACCTAAAAGGGCTCTTACACTGAAATCAGAAAACAAGAAATATTGATGAGGATTTAATCAATTAGATAAAGAATATGGTATATCAGTTGAAACGCCTCTGTTTCACATTTCTTCTTCTAGCATGCTCCAAATGAATACAATGCTTCTGCCTGGTACAGGTCAGGGTTATGGACATCTGCTTAATTTCAGATTAATTTTAGCTTAACTCATACATGTCCAACTGTGGGATGTAGTCCTATAAAACAACCCATGATCCTGGAGGCACTTCCTACTCCTTGCCCTACATCTCAGTGCGTGATTTCCAAAACACAGCTTGTTTGGTGGCCCACATGTCCTATCCTAAATGCCATGTCCCTCGTTCCTCATGAAAGCTCATCAACCCAGCACACTGTCTTCTACATGCCACCCTCAGAGTGTTCTGTGTGCAGTTAACTCTACGTCACCCTGTGACACAGCCCGGGCACTAGTGGACGTTGGTGGTGGGGAGAGCAGACAGGCGCAGGCACAGCTTCAGAAGAGCCGTTCGTCAGGACGCCCTGGCCTCTGCGTCCCGCTCAGTCTCCCTCTCCCACCACTGACCTCTGTTATCCAGCTGCCCTGGCCTCTTTTTTCCTAATTCTTCAAACATTTGGACTTCATTCTTCTTTCTTGACCTTTCGACTTGCTGTTCTGCCTGGCTAACTCATTTTTTTTTTTTTTACTGTAACTTCTATATTAGTCAGCATTCTCCAGAGAAACAGAATCAAATGGATACATATAAAAGAGATTTGTTATAAGAAATTGGCTCACATGGTTGTAGAGGATGAACAAGTCCCAAAACATGCAGTTGGCAAGCTTGAGACCAAGGACAGCCAATGGTGTAAGTTCCAGTCCAAAAGCCGGCAGGCTCAAGACCCAAAAAGAGCCTATGCTCAGTTCAATCCGAGGGCAGGAAACAACTGATGTCCCGGCCCAAAGAGGCAGGCAAGGGGAGTTCACTCTTACTCGGTCTGCTTGTTCTATCAGGCCTTCAACTGATTGGGTGATGCCCACCACACTGGGGAGGGCCATCTGCCTGACTAGGTCTACCAATGAAACACCCTCACAGACACACCCAGAATGATGTTTGACCAAATGTCTGGGCTCCCTATGGCTCAGTCATGTTGACACATAAATTTAACCATCGTGTCCCCTCGGCTCCCTCCCCTCTGGTCTACTGCAGATCAGCACCCGCCCTCGAGTTGCTTAAGAGAACATCATTATGGTTTGTAACCTTCAGAGCTCCTATCATGATCCAAAGTTATTCTGTTTTAAAATAAATTATGTTGATGTAGAAAATGTTAATGGTTACAACACTGAGTATAAAAAGCAAGATACAAAACTGTACACAAAATGTTATTCCAATTAGTGGTAATCATTTTATGGACTTATAAAAGCATGGAGAAAAGACTGAAAGAAAATATATCAAAATGAGGGTTTCATCTTCAAGGTGGTATTCTGGGCAACTTTTGTTTTTATTTTTATATGTTTTTCTATATTTTCCATTTATAGTATAATAAGCTATTATTAACAGAAAAAAGCAAGTTATTTTAAAAAAGATGTTTGGTTTATGTTTCTTTTGTGTCTCTAAAATGACCTTTCTCGTGTATGTATTTATATAGAGTACTATGTAGCAAGCTCATAATAACAGGTTACCTCATTAGTTGGAAAAAAATTTAAAATATGGAAAACAAAGACTTGATTCAGATAACTTTATTTTCAGGAGAAGAGGGTTAAAATGCACAATTATAGACCATATTTAATATTCTATAAGCATTTTTAGTATATTATGAAGAATAAAAATTATAATTACATCAATCATTAAAGCATTTAGAAAAATGTATCTTATCTAACAGTTATTTTGCTCTCTGGTATTAAACATATATGTCTTACTGAAGTACAGCTGTCCATAATTTTATAAGCAAATAATTATAGTTTTACTTTAAAATATTAAACTGGCATAACAAGATTTTATAATAATTGAATGAATGAGAAATAAATTTTTAAAAATTAATAGAAAAACCTCCATCTTAAGAACATAAAAAAATAGGATCATCAAGATAAGGATGAGTCAAGGCTCCACAAATTAGGGTTCTCAAAATAATGATTTCTAAATCAGTTGGAAGTTTAAAACATTCTCATACCTAAATGATGCATGGTATATTTTATGCCATAAGAATGTTTCTTTGATCTTCAAGACAATTATTTATGAATATAAGTGTTTCAATCTTGGTCAACTCAGAGAAGATGATGACTTTTCAGTCTTGTCTCTCAGAGTGATCTCTTGATATTTCTAGTTTAAATTTAAGTTGAGCTGACTTCCAGATCTTTTAGATCTGATCTTTCTGGCTCTGGGCCTAAGATAAATGTAAGAGAGGTAACAAGTATTAGTGTGAGTCTCGAAGCCTTCCATTCATGCCCTGACCTTGAGGATATGCGCCTTGCTGCTGTGGCAACTGCCCAGCCTGGATTTGTGCCTCCACTGGGCTGAGCAGGAGATGGGCAGAGAGGATAAATCTAAGGTATCCAGAGAGGCACTTTGGTCTACATTCAAAGAGGCCAAGAGCATCTCAAGACAGAGGTAGATAGATAGAAAAAGAAGGAGCTCTCCAAGCTGACAAGAGAAGAGAGAAGGAGAGCCGGTGCTGGTTGAGGGAGAACTGAGGAGAGAAGGAAGAGAGAGAATGCGGGCACCTGCTGAGCCACATGAGAAACAGAGGAAATGAAGATGGTGAAAAGGGATTTTTAAGAGTCAGTGGTGTGAGGCGAATGATCTCCTGTGGTACTTTCCAAGAGAATTCAATAAAACTCTGAATTTCTTACAATGTGTTTTTTAGAATGTTATACTTTATTTCTTTGAATGTGATACCATGTAGGAAATGGACCAAACAGACCACCTTTATGAGGGAGGATGAGAGCTGTGACCTCTATTTCACAAAAACTTGATTTAAGAGTTGTGTAACTTTAAGTGCTAAACTGATAATCTGGCAGCTAAGTGCCATCATGAAATTCTGTCATTTCCTCTAGATACAGCTCAGTTCTGACCCCCTTCCCTTCTCCTAGATTGTCGCAGATACTCGACCACTCTCCCTGCCAGCGCCTTGCTCCACTGTGGGACAGCCGGAGTGTTTCTTCTAGAATGTATGCCACAGTCCATCATCCCTCTGACCATCGCCCTCCAGGGGCTTCAGTCCTCGCCAAGACTTCTAAGACCCTGTGAGCCCCTTCCTTTGACTTCTCCACTCTCAGCTCCCTCTCGTTTGCTTTCACACTCCAGCTCTGTTTGAAACAGGTCCCTGCCCCTCCTTCCCCCGTCCCTCTCTCAATCCACACTCTACTTTTTTGCTTCGTAACATTCATCAGTCCCTGAAATTATATCTTATATTTATCTATTTAATTGTTCCTAGTCTGTATTCCCTTCTAGAATGTCGCTCCATAAGGGTGGGAACTTTGCTGTGTGCACAGCTGGAGGTCCACTGCTGGACCAACATCTTTCATTCTAAGGTGAAATGGATGGATGAGTGATTGGCGCATATCTGAGAAAACTTCCTGTCCTCAGAGTCCCAATGCCTCCCAAGCACTGGGCACTGTGACAGGTGCCGGGGAGATAGAAACACACAAGGCGGAACCTGCCTCCACAGGGCTCACTCTGCTGGAAAAGCCAGAAATTAAATAAAAGTTTATAAAATATCTCAAGGAATCAATTACATGTGTAAGGAGTGCTAATAAAAATCCAAGAAAAGTGATTTCAGTTGAACCTAAATTAAACTCTTCCTTTACATTTCAAGAATATATCCAAGCAAATCAGACTAATTTTTCTATAACATTTGCCATTTTTCTCTTTAGCATTTTAGAAAGGAAAGGAGTGAATATAGGGTGATGATATCAGGGGAAAAAGGCGTTAGAATCACACAGGGAGAAGAGAGAAGGAGGCGAGAGACTTGCGAAACAGAGGCGAAGAAGGAAGGAAGACGCTTACCCTTGTGTGTGGTGGGATGGTCTTCAGGTTGGTTCTCTACCTGCCTCATGGAGACACGGCTCCCCACTGGGAGCCCGGAAATGATTGTGGTCTTCAAGGCACTCATGAATGGCCCCAAAAGAACGACTTAATAACATACTACATTTGATCATTTATCAAGTGACCTGGAAGATTTAACATAATTATGATGAAGATAAATGGTTCTTAACTTTTAAAATATCAAAAATTTCATATGAAAACATTTGCATATATTTATGTAACTACCATTGCTCTTTATTATTTTTATTATTGCAGTTTGGAATGCCCCTCCCTCTCCTCAAATTTTGCTCTGACTTTGTTCAGAAATGAAAAATTAACCTCATCAGATAGACTTTTTCCCTACCTTACCTATTATCAGATGGTTTATAAAAGTATAATCAATGCTCAGAATTCTTAACTGAAACTTTGAATTAGATCAATATGTGCTTAAGAATAATGATACATATAATTAGATAATATGCATTAATGTTAAAAAAAAAAAAGTACTGTCTCTAATTTAACTTTGACAACAGGTCCTGAGGAGCTCCAGCAGCAGGGCTGGGGTCTGCGTCCGGCTCCTGATCTGCGCTGGTCCTGCAGGAGGAACAGCCTGGCTGCCAGCTCATCCTTCACTCCGTGTCTCACGCCTGGGGCTCTGCTGCCCTCTCTGCAGTTTCCTCCAAGTTTACTTTTTCTTTGTCCTCTTCTTTCTTTTCTTCAGAAAAATTAATCTGCTTTGCTTAAATATACTCTTGAAATTTAAAGGAAGAGCTTAATTTAGGGTGAACTTAAATTGTTTACTTTCCTCCTCAGCTCGCTCGCTGGCTGCCTCCGCTGGTGGGAGCCGCCCCGCTTTGATGCCTTCGCTGCTGGAAGCTCAGCGGCCTGTGTGACATCACTCTGGGCACCTCCTCCTCCTGTCGCCTGGCCTGAGTCTCCCTGTGCTCCCCAAACCTCCGGCGCCTTCCCATGAAGCTGGGCCCTCTGGGACCCTGCCATCAAGGCCCCAGGGACATCAGCGCTTTCTGCAGGATGTCGGGGGTAGTTTTGTCTTTTCCTGGATAGTTTCCTCCCAGTATGCCGCCAGAATCATAGTTATTATGTGTTTGTCAAGAATTTATCAGGTGCCAGGCTCTTTTCTATCTCGATCTTCACAATAACCCTGTGAAGAAAGTGCTCTTATCAGTGTCTACAAATGCTTGGTTTCCAATAATTGCAGCCGGAATTGACAGGAATAAAATTACCCCAGCGTCTCGGAGGACTGGTTTCAGAAACCAGCTGAAAAGATTTAGCGCATCGTAAACTCTTTTGCTTATTTTTCTTCTATTTCAATTTTTAAAATTTTCAGATATGTTTTTTGAGAACTCAAAAGATTCAAAATAAACTAATGACCCACTAGAAGATATTTGTGGCTTCTCTTTATCAAAATGATGTTTTAGTAAAGTAAGTTCTAATTAATTTAGAAGGCACACACTTCCAAAAAACTAATGACAGGACCAGGTTTAACTTGAACTTGAGGCAAAGGAGTAAGAAAACACAATTGAAATGTATACATAATGTTAGGCAACTGTACGGCCTGATTCATTGGTATGCTAATTACCAATGATTTTACTTATTAGGCAAGAAGTATAAAATGAAGCAACCGAGCCACGTGTAGGAAGACTATTCTAGGCATAGTGTAATTCTGGCGGTGGGATTGGGGCAAATGCTGAATGTTTTAAAATTTATCCTTTTAATGCTTTACTAATACTAAAAGTATTAGCTTTTATTAACGAGAACTGAGTTTTCATTATAACAATGATTAAGACTAAAACTGTAACAAAACAACCAAAATGAAATTGCATGTAGTGCAAAATGTTTTGATATAGGAACCGATATTTTTCCCTCTATTCTTCTAATTGCTTTTCCTCTTTCGAGCAGCAATAAGCAGTAAGGCTCTTCGGCACTCGCTCTGCTCTGTGAAGAGAGGATACAGCAGAAACAATGGTTGGTGAGACACATTGTTGACTTTTGAAACTAAAAAGCCAAGGACCAGGTATCAAGACAAGATATTCCAGATGGATGTATGATCAGCCCTAGCCTGCCTCTACTGCCCCTGAGACTACAGAGCGTTTGTTAGACCTGGGGTGAGGAAGGGAGGGGAGAGACATGGGCTAGGTGAGGTCAGCAAGCATGCTTTTCCTTGTCCCCCATCTTCCTGCAAAGTGCAGACCTGGCCATGCAGAAGGAGGTAGGATCCTCAGATGGATTGGGTTCTGGGTCCCATCTACCAAGGGCAGCCAGGCTGAGGGAGGGCCTCACGGCGTTCCCTAAGCCCAGCCTCCAAACAAGAGAATCAGAAGAGAAAGGGCTGTGAAGTATCCAGACAGACAGGCTGAGACAGCCTCAGAACTCCTGCAGCCCGGGGTGGCCGGAAAGATAGCAGAATGGTTTCCCACGTGCTCAGGAGTGGCACAGAGGTGGCAGTAATGGCACAGGTATTGGCAACCAATAAGGACAAGGAGGATGCAAATGTGACCTGTATGGACCAGTTCTAAATTATTATGGAGGAAGAAGGGTCACATTTATGCTCCTCGGCTAGTAGAACCTGGCTACCCACTGGTAAAAGCCTGGGTCCATACATTTTCCCATGAAGACAGATCAGTCTCCTCTCTCTTATTACCATCAACACCACTCTCTCCCAATGTCTCAGAACCTCTAATTCTAATGAGAGTCAGCCAAAGGGACCACGAGCTTCTAGACACACTGAGGACCCATTTCAGAGATACGTTCATAGCTGAATGAAAATCACAAAGCGCTTACATGCCTTATTTTCTGCTTTAGGGAATGTTATAAACCAGCATACAGAGTATGCTGTTAGAGTAAAATTACATTAAATTAAAAATTAGGTTTTACATGACAAATCACAATGTGCTGGCATACCCAATCACGTGGATTATTTATACCAAGTGAGGAGCAGGTGGATGACAAATATAGTCACAAATTTGTGCATGTGAACATGAGCAAGACACTCAGTATGCTGATGACATTTTATGTATATATGTATATATATAGACACATAAATATGTATGTATATGTATATCTTGGATTGGATTGATTTCATAAGGAATTAATTTTACTTTATTGAATCTATCCATTCTGAAGAAATAAAAATCTGATCCTTTTAAAGTAGTTCACAAGAACTGGGATGGATATGAGATGCTATGTCAATTGCCTTGAAACATATCAGTTTATAGTAACTTGGAAATAAACTAGGAGTTATAAATCTAGAAGGTTGACCTCCCAGACCAGAAAGTGAACTCTTAGGCCAATTACAAGTCATGTGCAACCATTCGGTGCTCAGAGTCTTTTATGCCAAGCACTGTGCCTGAAAATGACCTAGAATAGTTTTAAAGTGGGAAAATGGGCAAGAAAATAGATTATGAAATTGAGATGAAAACATTTATATAAGTGACAAGCACCTCAATTACATAAAGCACTGTTCTTGAATTTAAATTAAGTTTTACGTGCATGTATAGCAAAACACTATGCTATATTGACATGACTCCAACAAGAGAAAAGCTAATACTTCTTACCCTTGTGGAACTTGAGACTGGTGGGGACAGGAAAATGTCAACGAAGAGTTGCAAAACAATATAATAAATGTTTTGTACAAATGTGTTCCAGCATAAAAGGAGGGAGGAATCACATGATCGGATGTGGGCATATTCAAAATTTCACCCTACATTCGATGCATTATGGGACTCGAGGGAGACCAATGGTTGGAGCAGGTGGGACAATAGGAGTCTACCGTAATTGTCCTCGTGAGGGACTTGGGTAGTGGAGGTGAAGGGAAGAGGGGAGATGTGAGGACAATTCAGGAAGTAGCAAAGACTGAACTTGGGAACTGATTTAACTAGAAATGAAGGAGTCCAAGAAAATATCCAGGATTCTGGCCTGGGCCATGAGGCTGTGTGGAGAAAGATGATAAGGGTTTTTTTTGGAGATGTTGAATATCTGTAGGATATCCAGATGGGGCTGTGCAGGGGGAAGTCATATATATAGGTCTGGAATTCAGCTTTACCTTTTGGCCAGGGAGTAGAAATTTGGGGCATTTTGCATTTCAAAATTGGAATGTGAATTTAACTTATACCTGTGGGCTAAATACAGAATAAGTGCAGCCCAGGCACTAGGAACGTGGGCATCAGAACTAGAGCACGTGGGTTCTAAATCCAGCGCCAAAGACTCACTAGCTGTGTGACCACAGGAATATTCCTGAACCCCTCTGTGGCTCATCTTTGTCAACTGTAAAAGGGGATTACCATATACTGTATTCCCTACCACCTGCAAAGCTGTGAGGATTAAGTAACTGAATACAAATACAATCCTTATTGCTTAGTAAATATTAGTTATTAATGTGGGTTGAACAACATGAAATTACCATTCTGAAAGTCGCAAACAGTCAAATATTAGCAAATTCATTTGATTTTACATTTGTCGAAACATGAATCTAGTGGCGTTTTCCTGTTTCCCCATTCAGCCTCCCCTGAAGAAGACCCATCTTCTCTACCTTTGGTAAGAAACATGTAAACAGGTGCCTCAAGTCATCTGGGAATATTATCGACAATGTAATTCTTGGAGTAAAATTTGAAACTTACGTATGACTTTCCCTGTAACCTCCAAAATCTTTTCAATGGTGGAAGCAGAATGTCTTCCTTATTTCCACTACGAAATAACAACAAAAAACCCTGACAATTATTCCTGAAATATGTGCTTTGTTTAAACACAAGGTGTACAGTGAACACAGTTTTATCAGCGCTCTTGGACAAGATTCCAATATGCTGTTTCTGCAAGGAAAAATAAGCCCACTTTACAACTAATCTCTGGGACTTCGATAGCTAAATAATCATGGAATCGGCATTCAGGTCTTTGGGCACCCACTTCCCATGCACTTCCTTGAGGCTATAGTCTCGGTAATTGAATTGAGAGATGAAAAACGTGAACCCAACCTCGACAGATCAAGCTGACCTGAAACAGTATGCATGGCAATATCATTATATTCGAGGGCCAAAGGAAACTTGTGTGCTGGTTGTTTTCCTCTAAACCTGACTGTTTTGATGGAGTCATTGCTGTAAATCCTGTGTGTAATAAAACACGGAGTTTTGGGGTTCTCTTCAGAACAGAGATCATATAAGTTTCAAAGTCTAAATTGGGCAGCTAAGTGAAATCCTGTCTGTCATCAGATGAATGTGGCAGTTGGAGTTCCAGCACTTACGGCCAACAACTTCAGGTGAGCGCTTCTGAATCACAGGGAAGACCCATGTGGGCAGGCACGCTGTTGGGTTTCAAGAGAAGGGGATTGTAACATATTTGCACACAACATGAAAAATAAACGTTAGATTACAGATATAATACTTAACAGGTATTTCACTTCTGAAAAGGAATCAAAAATAGATGTTAACTGGCAGTGAATATAACAACTAAATACCACATTTTGGAAAAATCAAAAAACATATTTTCCTCTTGATGTATCTTTTGAGGATTTGGTATTCTGATCCCTTATTCTTCACTTCTTCTGAATACTCTTTAATGAATGCTTCTTTCCTTTAAAATAAAGGCAGCAACTTCTTTATATTTACCATGTGAGTTGGAATTTAATTTTTGTGATTTGTTTCTGTTAAGTTCTCAAGCCTTCTCTTTTTAAAGCAAAGTATAGAAATCTATAATGAAAAATTAAATGCTGAACAGAAAAAAACTCTTGTTCATAAGAGGAGAAAAGTATTATTTCTTTTGTGTATAAAAATGCTAGGTAAAATATAAAAATGTCAATTTCAAATGAATGCTAGCAATTTTCTTTTGGGAGTTTTAATTGTGGTTATTTCACCAATATAGCAAGATTTTGTTTGTTACATGTACATATGGATTTCATTTGCATTATGAATGTCCCTCTTGTGTATTAAAAAGAAAGAGAAATGTTTTAAAAGACCAGCAGCCTTTAAAAGCTTGTGTATGGTCAGTTTTAATTTATACAGCTGTCTGCCAGCAGTTAACGCCTAATTCTGCGACCTAACTAGGGTAAAGTCTAATGATGACTGATAAGACATACTTTTTACTTTCTCTTTCCTTAATAAGGAAGGATATCTACAGAAACTTTATAGCAAATATTGCACCTAATGGAAAAGCGTTTGATTCATTTCTCTCATAGTTAACAAGAGGAGGGGGCTGCTATGAACAGTTGTTCAACATTGTCCCTGGGGTCAAAGACAAGGCAACAGCCCCAGGGACACAAGCAAGAAATACAAGAAAGGGAAAAACCTTAAATAATAATACCTTAATAAGATAGTTTCTCTCTCACTTAAAGAAAAAAGGGAGACAGAGAATCCAGAGGCAAGCAGTCCAGACTGGAGTGGCAGCTTCACGGTGATCAGGGGACCCAGACTCCTGCCATGCTGCTCCACCCGCTTTGCATATCGCTCTATAATTTGCATATCGCTCTATAATCCAAGGTAATTGCTCAAGTCCCAGCCGTTGCGTTTTCATTGCAGGCAGCAGGCAGGAAGAAGTGGGGAAGAAGACGTACCTCTTCCCGGTTAGGGAGCCTCCCCTGGAGTCCCACACGATGCTTTGCTTAAATCTCATCGGTTAGAACAAAGTCACATGGTCATATCTAGTTGCAAAATTGCCTGGGAAAAGGAATCTTTTAGAAGAGTGGCCATGTGCCAGCTGAAAGTGGTCATTTAGGTGAGATGGCCAGAAATCTGCCAGAGAAAGGAAAAAACTGTACAGTTACTTCCAGATCTTGTGATTGTCTACGTGGAGAAGTGCAGAGGCCCCTGACACGCACCTTTAAAACTAGGAAGAGACTTCATCAAGGTTGCTATATAAGCGAAAGACTAGTAGAAACAAAGATATCATTCATGAAGGCAATTAAACTATGATACATCTAGAAATAACTATAGAAATATATAATTTTATGGAAAATAATAATATTGAAAGATAAAAAGTAACCTAAAAACAGTGATATGACATTCTCATGAATGACAAAATTCACCATTTTGAAGAAATCCATTCCCACTAAATTTATCTACAAATTTGAAATAAATCCAATAAAGGTCTCCACAGCATGTTTCTTGGAAATTGGCAGATATTTTAAATTCATTTTTGGGAGAATCAATGGCAAAGAATATCCACGAAAATGCTGAAGAAGAAATAGTGGGATTTGCCTACCAAATAGCAAGATGTATTATGATATTAAAACTTTGTATAAGTTACACATTGAATCACTGTTGGAGAGTAGCCCAGAAACAGCCTTTACAAGTATTTAACCTTCGTCTATGACACAGCTAACATTACAGATCAATGAACAACTGATGCTGGGGCAAATGCTTATTCAAATGGAAAAACTAAGACTGTATCTGTATCTCACTGTGTGCACAAAACCAGCTGCAGATGGATTAAAAATATAAAATGAAAGTCAAATGCTAAAGTTTGAGAACAAAATTTGGGAGGCTATCTTTAGTGCCTGAAGACATTGAAGGATTTACTAAATGACACACACAAAGCATTAGCCATGAAGAAAACAACTGACAAATTGGACTACACTGAGGCTCTGAGTGAAAAAAAATCATGACAAAGTTAAAAGACAAACAGTAGACTAGAAGGCGGCACGTAGGAGGCACTTAATTCAGAGGACAAGTTTCATAACAAAGAACTGTGCATCCGTAAGAAGACGGCTCTCAACCCAGTAGGAAATGGATTTGAAAAGCTGTAAACAGTTTGCCAAAGAGAAAACTCAAAAGGCTGAATAATCGTATGAAAACATCCTTTCTCTCACTATAATCAAAAAAAGGGCAAATTAAATAAAAATGTGTTAGCATTTCAAACCCACCCGATTGGCCAAAATTCATTTTTTTGTTGTCTTTGAGGAAGATTAGCCTTGAGCTAACGTCTGTGCCAGTCTTCCTCTATTTTGTATGTGGGCCACCACCACAGCATGGCTGATGAGTGGTGTAGGTCTGCACACTGGATCTGAACCCGAAAACCTGGGCCGCCAATGCAGAGCATGCCAAATTCAACCACTATGCCGTGAGGCTGGCCCTCCAATTCTTTCGATTGTTGGTAAGGCTATGAGGAATATATACTCTATATACTGCTGTCGAGCGTGTAGATTTGTGCAAACATTTTGGATACTATCTGACAGTAACTGATGAAGATGAGCTTACTCCATAACCCACTTCTAGTGTATACTCAGGATAAATCCGCGTCTTAGTATACACTCTAGAGATAATCTCACGTGTGTGCACGTGGAGATATGTGAGATTACATTCATTGCAGCATTTTTAATATCAAAAAGTGGAAACACACTGTATCATTGGGAGACTGGATAAATAAATGGTTCCCTATTCCGTGTTTGTGAAATCAAATGCTTGGCAATTGTTAAAACGAATGAAATAGATCCACATGTGGTAACATAAGTTTCAAAAACATTGTTGCTTGAAAATTAGTGACAGGGTAGTATACAGTATATAAATGTACTATTTACAAACATAAATCTTTATATAAATAAGTAGTGCTATAGTTCTTAAAGTTTAAAAGCATACACAACAGTGCTCTACAGTCTTTACAGATCCGTCCATAGTAAAAACGTGGACACTTCTGAGGTTATATAAACCCATGTTTCATCCCCGCCTGTTCCACGTGTTGATGTGGTCTTAGACAAGTGACTTCACCCCACTCCTGCAAGTTTTCTCATTTGTAAAATGGAGCGGTGGCCTACAGTTTAGATGAAATTGTATAATGGATGCGAAATGCTTAGCGCGGTGGCCTTGTGCATTTAGGATCGCTAGACTAGGTCCTAACTCTGAAGCTTTTCCATGGGGCTCTCCCAACCAGTTTCAAAATACTTTAAGCAAAGGCAAAAAGGGCAGAATTGTTTGAACAAGCAAACTCAAGGGAGTAAGAATTAACCAAAAGCCGTATCTCAGTACATCAGATGACACATGGCATAGTTGCACTTTTGGAAGGATTTAGCCATTTTATTTGCGATAAGAAGAAAGGACAGGAGAATTTGTCCCAATTCCTGAAGCTGATAAAGGCCATGTCTCCAAATACAGTCTTCCTGGGGATCAGGGCTTCAGCATATGAACTTAAGGGGCAGAGTTCAGTCCACAGTAGGTTCTAAACTAAGTGAGCCGGGGACCATGTCTGTTTTTGCACCCCATTACCCCCAGTATCTTGCATGCCAGAGCTAAATAGCAAGCCCGCTGTTAGCCCCATTGTAAGGGTGAGGAGACTGGGACTCAGAGACATTAATGAACTTGTTCAAGGTCACACAGCTGCTAAGAGCTGAGAATCAAACTCAAGCTTGCCTGATTCTAGAAACCCTAAAATAAGCAACTTGAAGAAGTAGAATTTAGGTCTGTTCTCTGCAAAATCTTCCATCTGTAGCAATGTCACCAACTACCCCATCAATTTAAAACTGTCTCTGATATTTGCTAAACTAAATAAATCTAAAGGTAAGATTAGTTCAATAAAATTTCATAAGGGTGAAAACTTCAAATGTCTGTGACAAATGACAGCTATTTTTAAAATGGTTTGGCTAGAGATGTTAAAAAGCTAGAGTTTGTACAGAGAATCAGTGTTCAATAGGGAAGCTCTTGTTAGAGAAATAGAGTTGCAAGAGGCGGGGATGAAGGTGCGAATGTGAAGTTGCCTGTGGACTCACCAAGCAGAGAGCACCAGGGCTGGAGGCTGATGGATTCCGGAGCTCGCAGAGCAACCACTGCGATAGCTTGTGCGTGAGAGTGGGGAGTGGGCGGAGACGGCCCCCGAATGTCCACGGAAAGATGATGAATGCAGGGTGGATCCTGATCTGCTTCTGCAGGTGTACAGACCTGCCGTGTAGTCCTCGGTGACGTCTCTGCTCCTGCCGAGAGACCAGAGAGGTTCCATAGACCCATCTCAACCCAAGCAATGAAATCAAACTCATGAGACAGTGGCACCCACACCAGTCATCTTTGTTTCCCCAAAGCCTAGGTCAATGCCAGGCATCTGGTGAGTGCTCTACAGATGACTGAGAGAGTGAGGAAACAGAGCCCTAGTTGAGCTTACTACTTCATCCTCCAAACCGGCAGACTGCCTCTTGCTCAGTGCAACCATGGATCAGTCAGAAGCCTTACCATCTATACAGGTGGGCCACTCAGTGTGTTCTTAACTCCTTACTCTTTTCACACCCCACTGCCAATCTCTTCCATCTGCTAAGTCCTCTCAGATCTTTCCTTTTGACTCCCACTAATTCAGACAGTCCCCCCCCCCACACACACACAAAATGATTGCAACTCAGCCCCATATATTTTTTCAATCTCTGTTCTCTCTATACTCATTCATCCTCCACACTAATAGGAGGAATTTTTTAATGAAACTCTCCAGTGGCATCCAGAGTCTATTGGATAAGATTCTTATTTCTAGCACGGCTGTTCTCCAGACATATTTGCATGCTCTCAGCACAATATGCTTTTCCATAAAGCTTTGCCTTGCACCTGCTGTTCCTGCTTCTTCACCTAGCAAACTCCACCTGGTCTTTAAAGCTCAAAAATAGCTGCTCTGTCAAGCTTTCTCCTGACCCTCCAGACACAGCCCTTTCTTGCCCTCCCTTGCCCTCCCAACCACTTTGTGTAGACTTCTTTTCTAGTGGTAATCACATTGTACACCGGCTACTTTTTCTTTCAGTTTTATTGAGATGTAATTGACATACGGTACTGTATAAATTGAAGGTGTACAGCATCATGACTTGACTTACATATATTGTGGAATAATTAACACAATAAGGTTAGTTAACATCCATTATCTCATATAGACACAACAAAGAAAAAGAAAAAATGATTTTTTCCTTCTTATGAAAACGTTCAGGATCTACTCTCTTAACAACTTTAATATGTACCATAGACTAGTGTTAAGTATAGTCATCATGTTGTACATTACATCCCCAAGACTTATTTATCTCATAAGTGCAAGTATGTACCTTTTAACCACCTTCCTCCAATTCCCTCACCCTCCACTCCTAGCTTCTGGTAAACACAAGTCGAATCTCTTTTTCTATAAGTTTGAGGATTTTTTGTTTAGATTCCACATGTATGTGAGACCACACAGGATTTGTCTTTCTCTGACATTTCACTCAGCATAAAGCCTTCAAGGTCCATCCATGTTGTCACAGTGGCAGGATTTCCTTCTTTTTTATGGCTAAGATTCCATTGTGTAGATATACCACATTTTCTTTATCCATTCAACTGTTGATGGGCGTTTAGGTTGTCTCCAGGTCTTAACTATTGAAAATATGCTGCAGTGAACATGGCGTGCAGAGCTCTCTTTGACAGAGTGATTTCCTTTCCTTTGGATGCATACCCAGAAGTCAAATTCCTGGATCATATGGTAGTTCTAGTTTTAATTTTTTTGAGGAACCTACATACTCTTTTCCCTAGTGGCAGCACCAATTTACAATCACACCAACAGTGCACAAGGGTTTCCTTTTCTCCACATCCTCACCAGCATTTACCATCTCTTGTCTTTTTGATGATGGCCATTCTAACAGTGTGATATCTCATTGCAATTTTGATTTGCATATTCCTCATGAATAGCGATGTTGAGCACCTCTTCATATGCCTGCTGGCCATTTGTGTATTGTCTTTGGATAAATATCTATTCAGTTCCTTGGCCTATTTTTAAAATTGGATTACTTGTTTTTCTGCTATTGAATTGTGTAGGTTCTTTTTGTACTTCGGATATCAACCCAGTGTTAGAGAAATGATTTGCGAATATTTTCTCCCATTCTGTAAGTTGCCTTTTTATTTTGTTGATCATTTCTTTTGCTGTGAAGAATCTTTTGAGTCTGATATGGTCTCACTTGTTTATTTATGATTAGTGTTGCTTATGCTTTAGGTGTCAAATCCACAAAATCATTGCCAAGACCCATGTCAAGGGAAATTTTCCTATGTTTTCTTCTAGGAGTTGTTTGGTTTCAGCTCTTACATTTAAGTCTTTAATCCATTGAGTTAATGTTTGTGAATGGTGTAAGAGAGCGGTCTAGTTTCATTATCTTACATGTGAATATCCAATTGTTCCAGCACGATTTGTTGAAGAGATTGTCTTTTCTCCACTAGATATTCTTGACTCCCTTGTCAAATATTAGTTGACAGTATATGCATGGGTTTGTTTCTGGGTTCTTGATTCTGATCCTTTGGTGTACGTGTCTGTTTTTATTCCAATACCTTATTGTTTTGACAACTCTAGCTTTATAATATAACTTGAAATCAGGGAGCCTGATGTCTCTGTTCTGTTCTTCTTTCTCAGGATTGCTTTGGCTATTTCAGGTCTTTTGTGGTTCCATATAAATTTTAGACTTGTTTTCTCTACTTCTGTAAAAATTGCCATTGGAATCTTGTCAGGGATTGCACTGAATCTATAGATGGCTTTGGGTTGTATGGACATTTTGACAATGTTAATTCTTCCAATCCATGAGCATGGACTATCTTTCCACTTACTTGAGTCTTCTTAGATTTCTTTCATCAGTATCTTGTAGTTTTCAGTGTAGAGATCTTTCGCTTCCTTGGTTAAATTTATTCCTAACTATTTTATTGTTTTTGATTCTATTGTAAATGGGATCATTTTCTTTATTTCCCTTTCAGATAATTTGTTGTTAGTATATAGAAATGCTACTGATTTTTGTATGTTAATTTTGTATCCTGCAACTTTACTGAATTAGTTGGTTAGCTCTAACAGTTTTTTTCGGTGAATTCTTTAGGGTTTTCTATTTATAAAGTTACGTCATCTGCAAATAAAGACAATTTTACTTCTTCTTTTCCAATTCTAATGCCTTCTATTTCTTT